ACTCGCACCCTGCGCGCGTAGCCTCAACGGGAAAATCTCGGAGCTGTACACCCACGTGATGGGCCCCATCCCGATTGAGAACGTCGATACGTACGACAGCACCATGGCGATGCTCAGTCCGATAGCCCACGTCAGCCTCTTCCCTGGGTTGTGCTCGATAATTGTCAGACTCGTCGCCAGCGTCAACAACGACACAACCATTCCTCCCACACTGCTTAGGAGCAACGGTCGCCGTCCGATCTTGTCCAGCAAAAACGTCGCAACCAGGATGAACACTGTCTTCGCGAATCCGACGGCTACCGTGGCGAGTAGCTTGTGGTCGGACGACGTGATTCCGGCTTTCTCGAAGATTCTTGGCGAGTATAGAACGACGGCGTCGATTCCCGAAGCTTGTTGGAAGAAGTGGATGCCAATGGCGGCGATCAGAACGCGGCGAACGGACGGCGTGGGATGAAACAGCAGCTCTTTCCATACACCCTCACCGTGAGATTGCTTCTGCACCTCCACGACGTCGTCTTGGCAGTCCTCTGGGATTCCCGCTGCCTCTTTAATTTCGATGAGTCTCAGCTGGGCTTCTTCCGTGCTGTCTGAGGTTTGGTCGAGCACGCGCTTGGCGTCTCCCAGTCGACCCTGCATCACCAGCCACCGCGGCGACTCCGGCATCGCCAACACCACTATGCCAAGAATCACTGACGGTACGGCTCCAATACCCAGCATGAACCGCCAACCCAGTTGCAGGGGCAACTTGGAGAATGCGTAGTTCGATACGTATCCCAACAATATTCCGCCATTGATAAACACCTGCAACAAAGTCCACGTTAAGAATATAGTTTTAAAACGAAGTATGTTAGTGGAGATTGAAATCTTAATTACCTCGGGGAAGGAGGTGAGAAAGCCGCGTGAGGAAGCGGGCGAGACCTCGGCAGTGTAGACGGGGGCAACCATGAGTGCGTACCCGACCCCGACGCCAGCGACAAAACGACCGAACATGAGGAAGGCATAGTTAGTGGCGAAACCCATAAGAATTGCTCCGACGAAGAAAATGGCACATGCTATTACGATGGTGTAACGACGGCCGATCCAGTCGGAGGTTCTGCCGGCAGCGCATGACCCAACCAAGGAGTAGATGTTGATGGTTCCAGCCAAAAACTCGATCTGCAGGTCGTTGATTTTAAGGTCATCTTTTATGTACAAAGCTGCTCCACTCATCACTCCGATATCTGCAACCACAGACAACAACCATTACTATACGTATATACATACACTTGAGTCGTATGACAATGAAAACCAATCATGAACTCACCATAACCAAGAAGGACGGAAGTCATGGAAGCCAGAACTGCACAAGCGAAAGCAAACTTATTTCTGTTTGTTTTCTTAGGAGGATCGAAATCCTCAATGGTTTTGGCAACTGCATGCGAAGGGTCCCCAGAAACGGAGTCGTTTTGGGGTTTCATGCCTGTCATCTCCTTCGATCTCTATCTGCTACAGACGGAGAGAGGTAGGTAGAGGAGGTAGAAGCAGAAGCTCTGAAGTTTTTGGCCGTGAAGAGCAGGAATTAAATAGAGCCGGTTAAGTTGCACCGAGGGACAAAAATGTCCGGAAAACATTTTTTTTTTTTACAGCTTCGCGTAATTTCCTAATAATCAACCAAACAAATCATAATACTTCAAATAGTTAAAATTAAAAAGTAAAAACCTAAAGATAAATAATGCTCTAAATCCAAATAGCAGAGAGACAGACTTTGTATGAACTGAGCAAAGTAATTATAACTCTCTCGGAAGGTCGGTCCTAAGTTTGGAATTAAGTCATTGTGGTTCAAAATTTTTGCTTCGGATATATATCCATATATCTATACATACATAATTATTTACTTCAATTTCCTACAAGGAATATCATATATGGTATGGTAAAAACTGCAATACAAAAAATACAAAAGAAGTAAAATAAGAATATATACAGAAGTACCCATGAATATATTATAAAAAATAATATATTTGAGTGTATTTTTATGAAAATTATTTTTTATTATACTGTAATTAATATGTATATTATTTATCGATCACTTTATAACTTAATTTATGTTTTTAATTCTCATCCTCAAAATTTGAATCACAACTAATTCCACGTCGTTACCATGGAAATATAAAAAGAAAAGAAAAACTTTTACCACGTTCCGTTATTATTATTAAAAACTTTACACGTCTGTATATTTTTTGGATAACGTTTGGTAAAAGAAAATGATAACATAAAACGGAAAACGGAAAAATAAACTAAAGTGAGAATTAAACAGTAAATAATAATTACTAAATATTTTTTTTAAAAAATTTTACTTTAAAATAAATATTACATATATTAAATATTTATTTAATTACCTAAATGCCACTGCACGGCAAGCTGCTCAAATATGTTTACTGGTCAAATTGGTCCGGTCCCGAAAGATTCCGCTGTGGTAGGGAAAAGGATCTGGTGGTGCAGGTCTCAGGCTAATATTCGTGGGTTTGTTTCTCCGATTCGACGCGTTTAGGGTTTGCACCATCTGTGACGTTGAAGTCGTTGACTAAAGCGTTAAATCCGTCATCAGCACCGTTCATCATCGAATCTCCATCGGCTGCACGTACTACTGCGTTGGTATTGTATGGTTGTTTTTAATTATATGTATAATCATTTCGTTAATATTAAAATATATTTTCTTCATTAAAAAAAAAGGTTTATTTGTTGGAAAAAAAAATAGTAATAATCTTTTAAAGAGATTAAAAAAGAATTTTATAATTGCAACCAAGACAAAAAAAAATAAATAAAAAAGAAAAAACACGTGATTAATGAAGACAAATAATTATTATTTTCTTAAATAGAATTTATATAAAGATTCTAAATTTGCATTGTTATTTTTATTTATTAAGTGTTAACTCTATTTTATATGAATAATAATAATTTTTAAAAAATATTTAACTTAATTTATTATTAAAATATAATAATAATATATATATATATTTTCTATTCTAATATTAAAAAAAAAAAACTTTTGTAACATAAAATTGTTTTTATTTTTTAGTGCACTTATTATTAATAATTATATCTTATAACAATAATTGTTTCTTTTATATATATATATGACATTAATAATTAATTTTTAATAAATCGAGAAAAAGGAGATAAAATGAATGTGACTCAACCTTCAATAACCTTATATATATATATATACATATGTATACATACATATGGTGTATATATGTATACATATAAAAATATTTTTCAATAATTACGATGGAAGCAAAAACTTGATGTTATTGATAAAATAAGATATTAGAGAATAAGCAATAAGATAAAAGGATAATTACTCTATATACATATATATATATATAGAGAGAGAGAGAGAGAGACAGTAAATATTGAGAATTAATTATACGAGTGTTATAATTTTCTTATGACACACATATATGTATATATATATATATATACATATATTATTTGCTGTCGACTGCCAAATCCCAAAAAAAAAAAAAAGAGGCAGAGAATTATTGAGATTTGGAGTTTTTTGTCTTTGCATGGATTTTTTTTTTCCATACTATTTTGTTTTTCTAATTATATATAGTAATCTGTAGCAATCAATTGGGATTATATATATATATATATATATATATACACACACACACACATATATCATCAGTACCACATAATATATGTGTATATCAATTTCTTTTGTCTACGTTTCTTCTAGTCTTTTTTTTTTTTCCTAATATTTTTCTATATGATGTATAAATATAAAATACAAACTCAAATTACTAATTTCATAACAAATATTATCTTATATTATAAATATTAAACTTCATATTATTATTGATTTAACAGATTATTTAAAAAATTATTTTTAAAATTTTTTTTATGTATCTAAATCCAATATAATTATTATATTATTAATGAAATTATAATAAGTATCAAATGTTTGTCCCTAACGATGCAGATATAATTTGTATGTCTGACTTAATTATAATATTTTATCAAAGCAGTCAATGCAAGTTTTGAAACGTAACACATATATATATAAATATATATATATAATCCATAATATATGTAAATTTTGTCAATTTTTTTTTAATATTTAATTTATAATACAAATTCCCACAAGATAATTGACTGGTAGTCAATATAATATTCTTCGAAATAAAAATATTAAAAAATATATAATTTAATAATATTACAACTGCAAACTTGTGGCACTTTAATTGGGTTGGTATATAAAAATTTGATCTCTTAAATTAATAATTCATATAAATCTGTTCGTGAGCCTTTGTTCACATGCATTCATTCATTAATTAATTCATTAAGCTTAATCATATATGTATACACACACACACACATATGTATATATATATATATATATATTATGGTTTTAATTTGTACTTTGGTTAGAATTAGAGGTCGGGGAGGATGAGGCTATGCTTAATCACTCACATGCATTGAACTAAATAATTAATGCTTAATCATATATGCATGTATATAATAATTATGAAGGAGTTAATTTATGAGGATCTAAAAAAAGATTTACTCTGTGTTTAAAATTAATTAACTAATCCGAACCCACATCATCGTAGGGAAAAAATACATTGTTGGTAATTTGAATTTGATAAGTGAGTTAAAAAGGGTCATAATTGGGATGATGGTATGCTTAGTCATTTATGGTATGAATGAGTTACAGTCATATATATATAAATATATATATATATATGGAAAGACACGTGGGTTAATTAGAATATGTAATGTAAACACGTATGCCGTTATATATATTATGAATGATATATCGATTTATACTGTCGAAGTAAAGATGGTAGTGTGTGATTTTTGAGTTTCCTGAGAGAAAGAACGAGTTAAAAATGAAAAGAACATGTTGAAGCTTTTCAGGCAATGGGGATGTATGTCATCCCTTTTCTTTTTTCTATGTTCCAAGTTGGTCGACGCAGACTTCACAACCATATACACACATATATATATATGTATATGTATATGTATATGTATATGTATGTATGTGGATGAAAGAAAGAAAGGACAAACAATGAAATTAAATGACTAAAATATTATTATGAGTTTGTTTGATGACTTAAAAATTCAACCATGCATGCATATGTATATGTATATGTAAATTCGACTACCAACTTGTGTTCTACTTTTTGTTCTTCACATTTTATTATTATTATTATTTAAGAAAAAATTAAACATGGAATTAAAAATTAATTTTAAAATTTAAACAATACAAAAATTTAAAAAAAAAAAACACACAAACAAAAATGGGTTATTTTTCTTAAAATCTCTTTTATCTTTTAATTATTTTAAAATTTTCAAACACGTATTATTATTATTATTATTATTATTATTGTAGATTTTTTTATGTTAAAAATAGATAGAAATTATAATAAAATTAATTTGATTATTTTTGAGGTGGAAGGAAGAGGATATGAATAATTATTGTTGTCGACTAAAAGAGTCAAAGTCAACAAAGACAGCCTCACTCCCACACATATACATATCATAATATGTGATTGTATAATGCATATATGTATGGTTCCCCCCCCAATTGCAATTTGTTCGTGTATATATATATATATATTATAATATGTGAAAATGATAGAAGCATAAATATTTATATTTAAAAAAAATCATTATTTTATAAATTACGTTGCCATTTCTATACACTCACGAGTTATTATATTTAATATTTTAATTTTCTAACTATATAACTTTTTTGACTTACGAAACTATCTAGTGTAAGCTTCAAGAAAAGAGCAAATACATACACACACACACACACACATATATATATATATATATAGAGTTTCATGTATCTAACTATTCTAACTAAAATTTATTGAATTAAATATTATAAATTCATAATAATTTTAATTATTAAAATATAAAATTAAATGTTGATTTTTTAAAACTTATTTGATTGACTTAAATGAGTTCCTAAATTTGACCGGAATCGTCATAGTAAATAATAAATAATTAATTTTACAAGAGAAAACAAAAGCGGATTTGGTAGGTGGCCGCTGTATTGACATGTATACGTACACACACACACACACACACATATATATATATATATACATACACATACATACTTATAAAGTTTCATGGCACGTAAAGTATTGCTTGTGACTTGAGTTACGTATTATTGACATATATATATATATTAACTATTAAATATTGTATTATTAATTAATTAATTAATTAATGTGTATATGTGAAGGAAGAATGAGGGTCATGTAATCCTATACGTACAAACCTTCTCAAATAGTTATATGAAATTGTAATTTATTTATTATTTTAAATCGGTCAAATAAATTGACCCGAAAAATCAGCAAATTAAGCAAGAAAATTTTGTTTGGCAATATTACCACACATATACCGATGAAGATTGTATGTAAATATTTTTTTGTAAGGAAACCATATTATTTCAGTACCTCAATAATGCAATCCTATATATATATATATATATATATATATGTAATACGTCTTGGTTCTCGCATCTATACATATATATATATATATATTATTATATTATGTGGGTTAAAAAGAATATGAGTGAAAATTCCAAGGGCAATGAAGTCCGAGGATGTGGGAAGGAAGGTTGGTGATTGGAGACGTGAACGAACCCACTCCCTCCGCTGACAAGAACAAGGGTCGGGTCGGGTCCACGTGCATTCATGAGAATTGGATTATGCAACTTCGGTCTACTTCGCATGCGTTGAATTTCGAGTGTTCTTGTTTTTTTATTTTTATTTTTATTTTTATTTTTTTATATTTTATTTTATTTTTTTTTTATGAAATTGAAGTTACGGTTTTGGACATGTCTTCTTGTAATTTCGAAAGGCAAAAATTCAAAATCTCTAGTTTTGTTTTTGAATTTAAACATAAATCTGATTGTGAGTTGAATACATCATTGAAAAGGACTCTCATCGTATTTGATCTGCACCGTTCGATCACAATTAAATAGAAAGTGAATTTAGACCGTCCATCACGATCTAATCTGGATCGTCCATCACAATTCGCTCTGTACCGTCCGATCGGATTTGAATGTGACCGTTCGATTGTGTTTAGGAGAGAGCGCATCTATGCCGTCCGTGCGCGCGAGAACGAACTTCAGTCGTTCGATCGCGGGCATGCGGATCGCCCACGTAGCCTTCCTGCGTGGCTTCCTGCATTAACGTCTCTGCCACTTGACACGTCCTGGTTAGTTCGGGTTGCTGATCCAGCATCTAACGTGACAAAATTTTTTAAAATTACGTTTTGACTTCCGTATTCTTATTGTGGATTGAATACATGACTTCCTTATTCATATTATCCTAAACTTTGAACACTTCTTTGTTTTTTGTCCCTCATTTAATTTCTTCTAAAAGGAGATATAATTCAATATTTGTAGCTATAACTACCCATTCCCTAGAAATCATGATTGAGCCTATATATATATATATATATATATATATTTGACTTGTGAAGAAATGGTATAGCCATTCAAGCTCACACAACAATAATATTGATCAGAAAATTGCAAGTTATAACAATACAACAACAATATTGCCGATTCAATAACACAATTTTGAATTTATTTATTTTGAATTTGGGATTTTACTTTCATCTTTATTATCTTCTTATTTTACTCCCTTTCGTTATTCTTTCTTTTAAGTTCTATTGATGCAATCTTATAAGATCGATTTTACAAGAACGACACTTGATGAACTAATAAAATACAGTTTTTTTTTTTTTTATATCTAGATCGTGAATGAACACTTTAAAAATATGCTAATTGGACTATAACATAACATAAAGTACACGATAATAAGTTATCAACTAAAATCACGTAGTCGTAAGAACATAAAATAGAACTACTTTATAGTTAACTTTCAATTTCGTTAGGCGGATGAACAAACTGATCTAACTTTGAGCCAACTTATCGTGGCAAAGGAAATCGATGATTATATTATTCAATTATACATTTTAAAGGTCAAAACTTGTCTTCTTCCTAAAAAAACTGGTAGATCAAACCCGATCATACTGAGTTGCTTCTTCTAATTTGCTTCATCATGTTGTGAGAAAATTCTATGGTAACTTGGATGCACTGTTTCTCTATCTCTCTTGGGTCATTTTCTAACATCTCACAGTAATTCAATAATATTTATTACGTATGATTATATAATAATAATGTTAAACTACAATGGATTTTTTTTTTTTAAAAAAAAATTTATTACAAGTTTATGGTATTTCTGACACACTATAATTAGAGCACTGGTTGTTGTAAATCAAACCCTCAAAATTGTTTGTCCATAGTGCAATTATGCCTCTCCATCGCAGACGGCTTTGCCCACGGGGAATTGAGGATTGACTCATCTGAAGTCGGTCTTCCTCAGAAATCAAGAGGCAAAAGTCTTGCAACCTCACAATTATAACATTTTTTTTTTTCTTTGTGGTCTAAAATCCTGATATCTTAATCACATAAAATTTACTAAACTGCCAAAAATAGCAAAGGGACACTGCGGTTTCTTTCTCATTCTTCAGGTTTGGTTACAGTAATTGAATTTGGGTTCAGAAATCAAGCAGAATGGGGGAGGAGGGGGGACCAAGAGCCTAAGAAGGAAGTATGCGATGTCAGGATTTTGACTTGAAACTGTAATATAATGACTGCGTCTTGGCATTTTCTAGTTATAAACACAAGAGTTTGAAAAAAGTGAACTTAAGGGTTTCTAAGTCACATGTCAGATGTGAGATGTGTCAGCCATGGCTGGATTTGTGGTGGGCGTGGCTTGGTTGGTCGTGGTTTACCTTGAGCTAAGGGTTGGTGTTGCTGCTTTTTTTTTTTCCTCCCACTCAACCTTATCTCTCTATGCAATCCCTTCGAATTACTATTATTATAAAACTGAGTGTATGGAAAGACTATTTACTTTTCATTTAGAGGTTCTTAAATTATTGTGATTATTTTAATTGTATCTAAAATGATCCTATTAGTTAAAATGGTTAAGACAGTTCACATAAGCAATGGTCATTAGCCATTCATAATCTAAAATTTTAAATCAGTATTGAAATAAAAAAGAAGTTTATGAAGAGTTCTACAATGCTAACATAATTAGGGTAAATAATTTACTTCTGATTGAACCAAAGAAATTAAAGAACACACAAACTAATCGAACACCGTCAGACCGTGGTGTTTCTGGTATAAAACTAGTGTATATATTGTACAAAAAAATTTAATATTGATGGTAGAATTTGGCTAATTACTGCATCTAAAAACTAAGAAAAGAATGTAATCGAGAGATCCAATTGGCCTCTAGTAAAACAAAAGGAAACAGTTTCTATCAGACGGCTCATGGAAGAGAAAAGGAGAGAAAAAGAAACATCAAAATTTGTCAATTTAAAATCTTCATCAGGCAATGTTAAAGTCATCATTGCATGCCCAAATAAACGGTTTTGGTGGAGGTTTATGTGCACCATATATATCTTTTTGGACCATCAACAAAATTGTCATCTTATTGCTCCATCACCATTCATTTGATTTCATTCTACAAATACTTCCAAAATTTCAGATTGCTTTGCTAAAGTGAGTGCAACAGTAGAGAACAAAGCGACAAAATTTTTTGATGAAAAACACCATTTTCTTTTGGATGCCAATAGCATTATTGCACAAGCCTAAGTTTTTGTTGTTGCTAGTTTTTTTCAGAATGATTTCGTGAATAACAGAAACACCTTCACCCAGTAGTTGTCATGAAATTTTTACTGTTTCTCTGGTTAAATGGGCTTGGATGGCTACATAACCTGCAGGTGCTATGCTAGACCAATATGTAGACAAATCTCAGTGGAGGGGTTGGTTGATGATGGTGATCACTGTTATGACAGTAACAACCTGGTTAAATCTTTTCACATTAAGAGGAATTAGGAAAATGATATGTACAATTACAACCATTAGGGTAGTATCTAAAGTGAAACTAAGTGAAAAGGCTCACATTCTGAGTCATCTGGCCCACATTAGCAGACACATATGCATATCCAATTACCCACAACTCAGGTAAAGAAATATATAGTTACTTAGTATTGAGTCACAAAGACAAGAAAGAAATTAAGGAGAATCATATAAGAGTTCGTTGCAATTTGTTGAGGGAAGTAAACTAAAAGTATTGTACGTTTGTTAATTAATGAGAGTTGTATGGGAAACACGTGGGAATATGCATAAGAATATACATTCAGTGCTGCTTGGACCCTCAATGCAATTATATTCAATCTCACTAGCTATGAATTCAAGATATCATCATAAATACGGAGATTAATACAAGCGCTTATATTTTGGAGATTGGAGATTGAATAAGCAAGCAAAATATTTTGAGGCTGCTATTTAAAATTAATCATAGTGTACAAGTGCATATATTTGTCAAGATAGTATATATATATTTCTGCAATAAATTAAAAGCCAAGTGTGTCTATCGACATGTCCAAATCTTGAAGGATAATTTTAGGATTTATCTTCTATTGGGTGTCTAATGAAAACTTGTCTCTATCCCTATCCTTCTTCAAAACTGGCCGTGCGGTAGGTGGACAATCCTTCTAGGAAAACTATAAGGAAACAAATTTTGTGTTCTCTTTGATTTAAAATAGTTACATTCTTAACTTAAAAAGGATCGTCTAGTGCTAGAAGTTTCTATTCATGTTATAATCAAATCTCTAAATAATTATTTCAATATCAAATTGTGTAAGACTACGTAGCAAAAATTATCAGGACTACGTAAAAATGTGTATCCTCTTTGTGTGCATCTAAAATGTAGATAGGTAAATTGTTTAAAGAGTTTATAACACATGGAGTAATTAAACGAGGGTCTTGCCTCAGGATATAGAGGTACCTTGACATATTGCAGCGTAGCTATAGTTTAGAAGTTACATCATTTGGACTTTCTAGCTTCGTTTTTTCATGATTGATGGCTTGATTGGTTTGACCATGTTAGTAATTAACTCAGTTGTACTAATTTGTATTACATTTATTTAGATTAACTAAACATAATTTTCAAAATACGTACCTAATTAACCATAAACAGTATAAACCACATGACAAAATCTTGATTCTTCACTGAGTTATCATGTAATACGGCACCATATATTTTTTTGAGAGGGGAAAAAAATCAGTACTAGATGACAAAAACAGCACCAAATGTTTTGCGCGTGTTTCATACAGGTGCTGTGTGGTATTCATTTTTGGTGTCGTTTTTTATGTTGGAGTGTCAGTGTGTCCAGAATAATATCTGCTCAGCTCAGCTAAATGCCTGGAAAAAGAAAAACCAAGTTCACATGACAAAATATTACATGGGGTTACTACTGAAGCTCTTCTATCAGAGGTAATGCCAATGGATTGGACCTGGACGATCCTCTGCTGGGTTCTATTTCTTACTTAAAGCCCGCTATGTGTTTTCTTGGACTTTGGCAATTATGTCAAAAAGAGCGGTAAGTTTTTCTTAAATATTAACTAGTTCAGTTAATCTAATTTACTTCACCTTAAATGAAAAAGTTTTAAGTTATACTATCCTATGAAAAGATTAATAAATGAAAAAACTATAAGCTATCTCTCCTTGTATTATCTTTTATAGTTTTTAACTTAATAAGCTTCCTAAAAACCGTTTTACACATAAATTGGCTTATAATTGCAGTGGAGAGAGGAGAAAGTGTTAGAATTGAACCTGGGTTGAGCAGTATATGGAAATGGGAGACAGCATTGCCAGTTGGGAGATCTTTCCTTGAGCCATCCTTAAATTTTAGCAGTAGAAATATGAGATATTACCCGGACAGAGGAGTTTGATAGTATCCTGTATGTTCTTGAACTGCTTCCCCAAAAGGCTCATTTCCTTCATGATGAGAATTATTATGCTTCTTTCAGTAATTTATCCTGCAGCAGCATCTGAAAAATGCTGCATGATACATAGTGATAGTATAACTAGTTTAGATGAAGGATACTGTTACAAAATGGTAAGGTTAACAATGTTTATTGGAAGCACTGGGTAAAAAAAAAGCTGTTAAAAAATAAAGGATAATAGAAACTGAAAATATCCTTAGATAATAGTTCATTAACTTAAAATATCTTTAGATAATAGTTCATTTAAGTGAAAATTAATTTCTTACCAAAGAGATATCAGATTTAGGCACATGTCCTCTATATTTCCTGTCGTAGTATCGGGATAGTTCAATTCCTCATCCATACTTGGATCATTATGCAACTGTTCTAAGAAGAGCCAGAGATCCTCGATCCTCTCCTCCACCCGTTAAACTTTCTACTAGAAATGCAGATATAGAAAGAATATTTCAGACAAAAAAAATGAAAAACTAAAAATCAATAAGCATTCAGAAAGCCCAAGAGATGCCATATTCTTCGGTTTTTTCTTTTTCATAAAAGCATTAGTGAAGAGTCAAGACCAATTCCAGGGAAGAGAAGGAGAATGCTACCTGATAAGAGATGTTAGGTGTTCGCCAGAAAAGACCTAAGAGGAAGATGATAGGTGATTATGACAATGACAAACAAAACTACTCAAATAACTACAATAGAAGGAAAAAAGAATTCATTTTCTTTAACTTTTCTATGTAGAGGTAATGGAGCCCCTTGCAAAGCAACCTTCAACTCTACAGTATCTTAATAGGATGCATAAAACACTATGTTAGGTTCATAATTGTTATGGGTTTGACATACCTCGTCAAGCTCTGAAAATCTTCCTGCAAGATTAATCAGGTATTTCCATACCCCATTGACAGCATAACTTCCTAATGCCCCAGGTCTTGAAGCATTATATGGGAATCATGTACGCTGACTTTCATCTTCTGCAAAAGAATATACAGGATTTTCATGGAGTTCTGCAATCAGCAAGACTAGCATTGAATATGTAAACTCCGCTCTCAAGTGCGATCTATCATTAGAAGTAAATACATGAACCCCATTGTCAACATACACCCAGCTACAACCAGCAAACTTCCTGATATCCTTCCTTCTCATCTGCTTCCTTATACGGCCCATCTCTGCCCAGTTTCCTTCTGCAGCATAGACATTAGCCAACTGCACATAACGAGCTCCATTATATCCCTCCAATCTTAATAGCTTCTCCTCTGCTTCTTTTGCAAGTTCAGCATTCCTATTTAGCTTGCAAGCATTCAGAAATGCTCCCAAGATTACAGCGTCCTCTTCCATAGGACTAGCTTTCATGAATGCAACTGCCTTTTCTAGTTGATTAGCTCTTCCATAGAGATCAATCATGCATGCATAGTGGTCAGCCTCAGGCAAAATGTTATAGTCTTCTGACATGGAATTGAAGTATTTTTCTCCTATTTCTACTAAACCACGGTGTCGACAAGCTGATAGGATTGCAACAAAAGTAGCCTCATCAGGCTCAAATCCTTTGTCCAACATTTGCTCAAACAGTTGGATGGCTTCAACATCCTGCCCATGATGGGCATAACCAGCTATGATTACATTGTAAATGATAGTATCCCTTTCAGTAACCTCCCCAAAGACCTTTTCAGCATATTCTATATTTCCACATTTTGAATACATATCAACAACTCCACTCATCAACTTTTTACCCAGCTCTACCCCTGATCTCAATATGTAAGCATGAATCTGCTTTCCAGGATCCAATGCAGCTTGTAGGACACATGCACCAAGCAGACTAATAACAATTGAAGCATCAGGAACCATTGCTTCCTTAGTTCTGAATTCATCTAAGAGTTCAAACACAGCATCACATTGCTGGGATTTGACATAACCTGAAAACATTGCTGTCCAAACAACAGAATTCTTCTCTGATAATGAATCAAAGACCCTTCGAGCCTCTACCATATTAACTTCTGATGAATACCCTACAATCATTGAAGTGATTGAAAAAGAGTTCCCAACCCCATATGCAACGTGCACTGACTCAGCGTACTTCATATTTCCACACTTGCAGTAAACATCGACAATGCTACTGCTTATAAACGGATTTGAATATAAACCATTCTTCAAAACCAGAGCATGCACTTCTTTTCCAAGCTGCAGATTTCTCAAAGAAGAACAAGCACTTAAAACAGTAGCGAAAGTGTGCTCATTCCATCTAAATCCTTTATCTGCCATACTAACAAACAACCTTAATGCTTCCTTCTCATAACCATTCTGTACGTAACCCCAAATTATCGTGTTCCAAGACACTGTATCATTCAACTCTGGATCCGTACAGAATAGCTTCAGAGCCATTTCCATGTCACCTTGCCTACACATGCCGCCACCATTGCATTCTTAGACACCGCATCAACTATCCCTTCACGAACATTATCAAACATCCTAGTAACCTCTTTGAAGCACCCACATTTAGAATACAAGTCCACTAGAGAACTCACCCCGAACCCACTTAAATCATTACCTGTTTCACCATAAAACAGTGCAACTGTGTTCCATAACGCACCATCAATAACCTTGAGCAGAGGTTAAGCATTGTGGTAACAGTAAACTCGTCAATTTTAATTCCTTCACGGCATCTTTGCATTCCCATGAAAAACTGAATTGCATCATTCTCGCAACCATCAGCGCTGGCATAACCGGCCAGCATTGAGTTGTAGGTAACTAAATCTCTTTGAGAAGCAGCATCGAATAATGCACGCGCTTGTGCCAAGTCCCGGGATCTTATGTGGGCGGAGATTATAGCATTCCAGGAGAAAACATTCCTCTCAGTCATTTCATCGAACAGTTTTCGAGCTTCAGGCAAAAGACCATGTTTGGAGTAAAGGTGAACAAGTTGATTCAGGGTGAAGATAGCTGGTTTTATACCAGCTTTTATGGCGTGGACGTGGTATATAAGACCATCTTTCAAGCACCTCATGTACGTATACAGAGACAAATATGTCGATATACAATATGACGATGCTTAGGATTCACAGAAGAAGAGCAGAATGGTGCATTATGACAGCTTCTGAACGTTGTTTTCTGCACTAAATGAAGACGGTTAAGCGCTCTAAAGGAGTTCGGTACCTTGGTTTGAATGGAAGCAAGCGGGGAACAGAAAAGAGAGAGAAGCCTCTTCCCCTTTTTCCCTCCCTTTTCCCCCATTTTTTTTATTAATATTATTATTTATTCATTTAAATTTTTGAATTAATTAAAAAAACCTAAATATATTAAATAGATATCACATAATTTTTTTTTAAAAAATTTAGATATTATAATAACTTATTTTTTTAATTTATTAATTTTTTATAATGATACTAATTTTTATTCAAACATAGTATTAAAGAAAAAACTAATAATTAAATATACTGTATATTCTAAATTATATATTTACGATAAGCAGTCAATTTTTTAAATAAATATCTTCATATGAAATTTGATATGGTAAAAGAAACTATTAAAACTATGTTTAGAACATAAAACGAGACGCGATACATAATTTTCGAAGTAAATTATGTATACGTATGGTAATAAATGTCATCGTAATGCTTTTGTTGCGAGAATCAAGTAACTCTTGTTTTCTCTTCTCCCACCCCTTTCTTCCTCAGCTTTTAAAACATATTTCTCATGCTGCAACTGCTGCCAGTGTTCTCAAAATTAGACTTCAAAGTTTCCATCAACCTACAACACTTGGCCAGTTCGAGTAATCTGCAGTTCAAGTTAGAGCATGGACTGGCAAGACACAATTTTGGCAGCAGAGTATATAGATCGTGCATCGTCTGCATAAAAGAAAACCAACAAGATTGATCATTAGAACTGAACATATAAAGTTTAATGGATCTCTGTATATATACATATACATATTTGTGTGTGTGTAATTATGTATGTTAATCATAAGAACTGCGTACAAATACATACCTGCAATAGAAGCCAAATCAAATACAGAAGGCACGTTGGTCTCTGCTTCTACTGCAGCTTTGGCTGCTGCAACACCAACTGCTAAACTTTGCAGAGCATCTAAGCCATTGCATAGAGAAGCAAGCATTCCCCCAACCAAGCAATCACCAGCTCCTGTAAGCCTGACTACTGATGCAGGCAATGAAGGAAGATGCACAGCAAAAAAATGAGAACTTCCCGGGAAGCACTTTAAAGGACAGGTTGATGCCACAAGTTTATGAAGCTGTGAACCATGAATATGATGTTTGGTTTTCCCCAGCCCAGCCTTCAGGAAACTAGATTCTCCTTTTGTGCAAAAGAATACTCCATCAGGACCAAGAGTCACAATAACTACTTTGATGCCCTTCTCCAGAAGGACACAGATTGCTGGTTTTAACATTTGGAATAAATAATCTACCGAGTATTTATTTCCAGCAGCTTCGTTTTTTATTCGATGAAATACCTCCCTTGAGGACAAAGCATTTGCCATTGCTATGAGCTCATCTTCATTAGGGGAAGCAAAAGTTACCTGTAAAACATCTATGTATCACATTCTTCTGTGTAAATTCTTTCTAAATAAGGAAAAAAAAAAACTCAACATCTAAGATTAGGATGGTCTTTCTCAATCAATTAAGTAAATAAGATTCGAGCAGGATAAAAGACCCAGAAGATAATTAAAATCACACATCAAGTCTACTCCAGTCAAGCTCTCCAACAAATAGCAGGGTTGATTGTAAGTTCCAAAATATTCTTTTATCATGCTTCAAAAGGGAGTTAGATATTAAAATTGCTAAATGCTAACTCATAAGGGGAAAAGACTTTACTACAGAATTCATGATGTGAGTATTATTTGTAAATTTACTCTCTGGCTTTCCCTAAATGGGACCCACAAACTCTAGAGACAGTGAGAGCCCCCAAACAACTAACCATGTTTACTCTCCAGAAGCATTTGGCTCCAAAATTACATGTGTAGAAATGAAGCACTTACATACTCTCTTATTGGAGCAATTCTTCTAGATTTTGCAAATGACACAGGCTCAAACCAAACTGGAACATTAGATTCTGCAGCCACTGCAGGAAAAACAGAGAGAAAGCAAAATGAGTACATGGTTGAATACAACAAAAACACATTACACTACAAGCATGAATTTGAAATCCAATTAGCTAATAGAATCTAAAGGAGAAGCTAAACATACATCTGCAAGAAGCCTCTAAGGCAAGAGGGTTGAGGTTTGCATCAACCATCAATACTGGAGCAGAAGATATATTGTACTTGAATTGCAGGATCCACTCTGGAGTTAGAAATCTTTCCTGTTTCAAGCTCATCAAAAAGCCACTTAAAGTCCTGAAGCCACTATATGTAAGTTTAAATATTTCGGCAATATGCTACTGTATATGAGAACAATTTAATTGGCAGATACTTACTATTGACTCCACGCTTGCAACACCAGCTGCAACTTCTCCATTGATGTCAATTATATTGCACGCGACAGCAGTACTGATATCTTTCTGCCTCCGAATGCCTGCTTCAAAACTAATATTGCCCAATAATAAACCAACAAGTTCACCACCAAATGAAGAATTCCTACTGAAAATTTTTATGGAAATTTATTAAGTTGCAGATAAGGATTGAAATGAGGAAACTTGAAATGTTTCCCTCACAGTGCTTTTGTCATTTGAACTACGTTCATTAAGTTCTCTGGATCATTAGGGATACAATAAGTACGATGTTGTGAAGAATAACTCTATATGCAATTCAAGTTTATCAAAAGTGTAAACTTCCCAATTTATTAAAACCATAAATTCATTTTACAACCAAAACCACCTCTCAATTTAGTACATGTCCCCAAAAAGTACTGGATGAGAAATTTTCAAGCAATCAATCATTGCTTTACATCTAAAATTGATGTCAAACTGAGATATGTAACACTAGGATCCTATGTCTTCCACTAAAAAGATAACAAATCAAAGCAAGTAGGTTATTCATCCTGACCATCTAGAAACTATTAGGCTTTACAGTTTTGCATCTTAAGAGTCGGAAAATATTGGTGATGTTTTTACAAAGATAGCAACAAAAACAATTCAGTTTAGTGCACATAGCAGTGTGTACCGTGATAAATAATTAAAGTATATGAAGTTGACATGGCTGACCTCTGGTGGATAACTTGATAGATTTCCAATGCTCCAACAACAAATTCCCTAGTAAGAGAAATATATCAGTTCAGGAAGAACCTATATCAGCTATGACATATGCAATGATCATTGAATAACATCGAATGATACACTGAGTAGGGATAAATTCATCAATGGATGACAGACTTTTGTACAATAATGCCCATTAACACCCAACAGCCCCCGTGTAACACCCAACAAACAACCCCGTGATTCAATTTCTTCAATTAACTACTAAAATGTCCTCGGTGTATATATATATATAATCAATAATAATTTCAATATCTGAATCAAACCAAGTATTAATTACAGATCTATGTAAATAATTCAAGGCATGACTGGAACTGATTGAAACATGAAAATGATGATCTAATTCTACAAAAAAAAAAATAGTTTAATAATAAAGAAAAAGTTATGATTTGAACTGAATAAGAATTGAACTAAGCAGGAAGTAAGTATCAATCTAGTTTTATTTTGCTTCTGTGAAAGCCATAAATCATCCAGGATATTCAGCGAAAGGGAAAGTAAGAAAATAATGAAGAGAGAAAGAATACCCGCCATGTCAACTCCCACAGCACTAATCATGAAAGGCCTGGTTCCAAGCTTTGACATACACTCAGCAACATTTCTAGCTACACCTCCTAGCACGTAATCCACCTGAAAAAATTCCCCCAACGTGAGATTTTCTAAAACAATGTACTTTTATTTATCTTTTTTCACATTTCCACCATTAGAAACTAATGAAATTTTGCAATCAACTGCTACCACATTCCAATAAAATTCAAATGAATTCGATGATTCGTCATATGGATTTTGGCTTGATTTTCACCATAGGCGAAAATAATTGCAGCAAAAGGACTCATTAATCAATTCCAAACGGGTAAACGAAAATAAATTCTCACTGGATTATCTATACATGCGTGAATAACTAAAAAACCAGTAAAATTAATCGATATCGTAGATAAGAGAAATGGTAGGAAGAGATATAACCTTGCCTGGGGTTGTGGTTCTGGGATTCGCAGGGCCTGAAGGAGTTCCATGAATATCCAACACCATTCCCCCTATGATCACAGCTTCTTCGCCTTCATCCCTCGTTTGCCTCTCGACACTGCTTTCTGTTTTTCCTCTCTTTCCACACATTCTCAGTTCAAGCAACAGCAGTCAGCAGCAGTAACCCCGATAGACTCCTGCTCCGCTGTTCTGTGTCTCCTCTTATGTGCTGTTCTTTTTGCAGAGCCCATCAAATAGGAGACCAGGCCAGATGGGTTAAACATTGGGCCTTACATCGTCTTTGTTGATTTTGGGCCTGAAATACTCTGAGCTTGTTTAGGTTCTCAGTTTTTTTGTCATTGTCGTGGTAATTTGTACGGAACTTTGCAGGTCGAGTTCAAACAGTTTAATTTCCTTCCTTCAAAATCAAATTCAAACCCTTTTCTGTTAAAACTCTAATTGAAGAATCGTTGTGTCAATGGCTCTTCCTAGTGAGGTTAGTGAAATACACACTCTGATTTCATTAACTACTTCTCGTTCTTTTCAATTTATCCACTTATACTCTTCGTTGTCTTCCTTTGTTTACTTTAATCCAGTTAGGATTTTAATCTCTTCCATCTTCACTGCAAGTTTGCTTCGGAATTATTTGAGGAAATTTTATAATTATTGGATGATTATGCTTTTTGGGGGAGTTACAAATACAGCGTAGAAAATACTAAGAGTTTGCTAATTTGGAATCTTTCTAAAACTTTGCCCTTGGAAATTTCTCATGGAAATAGAGGGAGTTGTAAACTGGTTTTTAGCCATGCAAGCGTTTTGGCTATAGCAATGCAAGAAGATGACTGCTAAAGTGATCGTATGTAATTTCTTAATTTAGAAGGGATTCATATTTCAGTATGATTGTTAACTGTTTCAACATCTTATTATTCTTGAGATGATTTCCCTGTTAATATAATAAGCAATATTTATACGTGTAGGTATACATGTAACCTAAATTTTTTTTCTATTATTTGCGATTTTTTGGCTGTTTGCTTGCATTGTTGGACTGTTCTGAACCATCTTGCTGAGAGCACGCATTTCGTACATATTTCTATGATTTACACTTCAATATGATAATTGCTTTGCTCGTAAAACATTTCAAGGAATAGAATTTGCATATGCATGTTAGGATTGGTGGCATTGACCTTTGATCTTTCATGCATATGCTAGATGATAATCATCTTTAATTGATGCAGGTTGGCTTGCGAGTGCTCTTTTGTCCACTTGGCTCCAATATTGTTATCCGGACTGCATGGTGCGACGCCTAATTTTATGATTTCAATTCTTTTCTAAACAATATAGATTGATTGAAAACAGATGAACGTGTACCAATGTTGAAATAATAGTCCGTGGCTGCTTCTCTATATCCGTTTTATGCAGCTGTTCTTTGGGAACCACCTTACCTGCCTATTCAACATTTAAAGCTATCGAGAAGAACGACCAAGACCAACAACGAAAGTGGCTTGTGTATTGGGCAGGTGAGTGTTGCTTTTGGCACCTTTCCATATGTATTCATACACCTTTTAGACCATTTTCCTCAAATAACAAAGGCAGATGTATAAAGGTTGTTGTTTTTGGCTAATTAGTTTAGGATTTGTCTATTTGTCTATAACTAGCTAACATGACATCGTGGCTCACTTATATACATGTAAAATGTAAGCATTTTATTTTTTTTTATCAATTATATATATTTAGCTTTTAAAATTTGTACATATATATCCTAATATAAAACTCACAGTTAGAATAGTAATTACGAAAGTGAAAGGTAAATATATTTCCAACCGTAAAAAGATTCACTATTTTAATGATTTTAGCAGCATTAGTTAATTTGCCATTGACTGCAATCTACGTTTTTACTACTTGCAGTTTATGGATCCTTCAGTGTTGTAGAAGTGTTTGCAGACAAAATCCTCTCATGGTACATTTTTTCCTCCTTATACATCTGATTTCTTTTATGTTTCTATTTCCATTATAAAGTTTGGAAATGATGTCCATTTAACTTCTCAATTATGTGGTTGTTGGAAGTCCCAAGTTTTTATTGTAATTTCTTGGACATGATAAACTACGTTTTCCAAACATCCTGTTTTAACTTTGTTTTATTGTCTTCCATTGCTTCTGGGAAGCATGATAAGCAAGTAGAGATCAGTTTCAAAGATGCTGATAGCCTGTAGCCCCAGTAGTAGTAGCAACAAATACCTAATTTTGTTTTATCCATATGTGGGGAAAATTTAGATGCTCTCTGACGACACATGGGATCAGAATCCTTGAAAATAAAGAAATTTCTTGTTTTAACCTGCACTATGGTGAAAGTCATAACCGAACCTAGTGAACTTGAAGGTCCCTTTCCATCTGAAAATTATGACCTGAGGGAGTGTCTGTTCTTTGATTTTTGTAATTTCTGAATCTGTCAGAGAAATATTTTTGTAGGTGGACTGTGTTTTCTTCTGAAATCAGTTGCATTATTACGAAGATATCTTGTTTCTGGTTAACATTAGATGACTTTATTCATTTTCTAAAATTAGTTTCCTGTAACGAACTCACCTAGTACAGTTGATTATATCGTCCCCTCTTCTCTAGGGTGGGGGTTCCAGTCTTACAAATTCTCCCTAGGGCTAGCAAAAGGACGAGTGAATTTATGGATCGAATATTTCTTGAAATGCGATTCAACTATTTTTCAAAGTTTTAGCACCATATCGTTTTGTTATTCATATTGCTAACTGAAAACCTTCATTTTCCCTTTGTTACTTCGCCAGGTTTCCTCTCTACTACTATGTGAAATTTGCTTTTCTAGTTTGGCTGCAGCTTCCATCTTCTGAAGTAAGCTTTACTATTGCTGCTTTTTCTCAGATGACATTATTTTCTATACCTGTCATGAATTGCTGCATTTAAGATATTTATAGTTCTCAGGAAATGAGCGCTTCTCATTCTCTTTCTCCTAAACGTTAAAATGACATTACTCTGGTACCTAGCCATGTGGCAAAAAAGGAAAACAACCGGGACATCTTCACATTTTGAAGCTTTGTTTAACTACTCTAAGTTGAACTCCTCGACTGTTTAACAGGGAGCAAGACAGTTGTACATGAGCCATCTCCGCCCTTTCCTCTTGCGGCATCAAGCTAGATTGGATCATATTGTGGAGCTTATATATGGTCAAATGGTGAGAATTTTATATTATTAGATATATAATCATGGAAGAAAATTACCGTGTTAGAAATGAACTGTTAGGGTTACCTGCTGGTTGGCTGAAATCTTTAATTCATTGACAAGGGATGAAGACTGTGAGCTTGCCATACCATGAACCTCTTCCTGCATCTTCCCACTTCCTCTCAAAGATAATTACCTATTAAAATGGGTACCATTTAAAACCGACTAATGCATTGACGCATTTTAGTTACCGCATTTCCTATTAAGACCTGGTCTAATGAAGGTTGTAATGATTTTTAACATCCCTTTTGTGTGAAAGAAATCTGACAGATTACTTTGCAGAATAAATTCATTAATGCCCACCAAGAAGAAATCCGGTTCATGAGAAATATTGTTCTGAAAATCTTCACATCAGGTATGGAATTTTGTTGATGAATTGGCATTAAGATACTACGTAACAATATTACATTTTCTTTTCACTATCACATTATGCATTTTGGTAGCATATTGTATAACCATTGATAATGTACTGTATGATATGAAAAGAGTACAAAAGATGTCACTCCATTGTGCCTTGTTTAGTGCATGAAGTACTGGACTGATAATGTGTTCTGTTCAAAATATTCACAATTTGTGCCAGAATCTAGTAGTTAGAATTTTTTTTGTTTCCTGATTCAGTACACATTCTTGTCAAGAACCAAGTTTTTAAGCTATGAAACATTGTTAGCAGGCAGTATTATAATAACTTGTACGGTATATTAGACAAACCGCTGCCTTCAAAAATTCATAAAAATGTCTGCAAGAGTCTAAGAGAGTAAAAGCACAATTTCTTTCAATATGTTTTTGGGATGATACTTCTATTACTTCTTCTTCTTCTCATCTTTCCTTGCTTCCTCATTCACTTCTGGGTTCAGCATACCAAATGGTTCAGGGTAATACTCATCAGGAACCGAGACACTCGACTAGTTCCTTCCAAGGCAATTCAAGACGATTACTAGATTCATCATCAGACCGGGAAGACTGATTATTTCTTCTAACGAGCATACTCTGTCAATTTTTTGTCTCAAAATTCTCTCTCTTGTTTCACTAGCCACGCACAGAATACTTTGCTGGAGGTATAGCAGAGTTTTCTCTAGCTGGGGAGTACTGGATGGAGATGTAAGTAAGATCTTTCTGGTGAAGCTGGCATACTCGGCTGTTAATTTAGATCGGTTCATGAACGGGGAAGCTTTTTTTTGTTAATTATGAATGGAAAGTATAAGATTAGATGTAAAGAACCCTAGATATAAATATCCATTTGCATTTGCTCTTCAACTGAGTTCTATTCTCCATGGTGCATCCGGAGACACAAGATCTTAAACTATCATGTAACGTTGTGTAACTACTTAATAATATTTTATAATAAACTATGTAATTTTTGTATTATAATTATTTAATATTTTGTAGCATATGAATTACTACCCGTTAGAATTATATTTGAACCCTACTGGTTCGGCTGTAATCATTATATGATAACAGTGTATATACAAATTTTCGTAGTGTCTATATCTATTCCCTTTTGAGCAAGTAGGGGAAAAGGAGAACCAAAATTTTTATTCTTTTGGATGAAAAACTAAAATTAAAAACAAAATCCGACCAACACATGCTGCCACCTTTTCTCTGTGATCCACATTTCTTTCGTCAACAAGTTAACAACAAAAACCTGTGTAATTACAGATAACCTACATATACTACATATACATATAATGTTACGTCTAAGTATATTTCTGTACGTACACATCTAAAAGTAAAAAAAAAAAGAAAAGGAAAGAACTCCGTTGATTTTGAAGGCAGACTATTGGACCGAAATTATACGTCCTAAATTAAGAGAAATTGAAGGAAAGAGAAGCGGCCATGAATTGTCGTCGAGAGAAAATCAGAAGCAGCTCACTGTCAAGGCCATCGAGGATCTCAATAGCAATAGCAATAGGGATCTCGTTTGGCTGCTTCTTCGCCTTCATTTTTCCTCGAGGAATCCTGTCGCCACTCTCTCTCAATTCACCCAGACTTCATTACCGCAGATCTGCTGTATCCAATCTCGTATGTTTCCTAACTTTCACTGATTTTCCTTGATGTTCGCAGTGTCGACAATACATGCATTACCTATTCTGAAAACTAATATGTGCGATTGTGTGTGTTTATATGATAGGAGTATAGAACCTGTAAGGCCTCACAGACATGATGTTTTCACCTATATCGTAATACTTGACATGCATGCACAATTTTAAGTTTAGTTTACATTCCTGCGTGGAAGCTTTCTCTTATCTTCGAATATATATACACACACACACATAAATGTGAGTTTATGTATGTTTTGCCTTCTAGATTGTACCGACTAAATGTGAGACATCGGTGCGACCCAGTGCCTTAAAAGTGAAAGCACAGCTTGTGATGGCATCTGAGAGAAATGCCGTATTGAAAAGGCAAGTCAAGGAGCTCTCTGCAAAGCTAACATTGGCTGAACAGCTGAAAGACATTGCACAGAAACAAATACTGTCGAGGGAACAGCACAAAGCTGGACCTTTTGGCTCTGCCAAAAGCCTAAGAATAAATCCTACTTCACCTGATGAATCTGTGAACCCAAGATTAGCAAAAACATTACGGAAAATTGCTGTCCAAGGAGAGCTCATAGTTGCACTGGCAAATTCCAACATGAAAGAAATGTTAGAAGTTTGGTTCACCAGCATCAAAAGAGTTGACATACCAAATTATTTGGTTGTTGCTCTGGATTCCGAGATTACTAGCTTTTGCCAATCAAAGAGTGTTCCTGTTTACGAGACAGACCTGGATAAAGACATTGATACCGTTGCAAGGACGGGAGGTGCTCATGATGTTTCGAGATTGAAATTCCAAATCCTGACAGAGTTCTTGCAACTGGGTTACTGTATACTCGTCTCAGATGTTGCAGTCGTGTATTTGCAGAACCCATTTGATCACCTCTATAGAGATTCAGATGTGGAGGCTTTGAGCGACGGTCATAGTAATAGGACTGCTTACGGGTTTGATGATGTCTTTGATGACCCTGCAATGGGTTGGGCAAGATATGCTCATTCAATGAGGATATGGGTTTATAACTCAGGTTTCTTCTACATCAGACCAACAATCCCTGCAATCGAGCTTCTAGTTCATGTTGCTGACCGGGTTTCTAGGGAGAAAACATGGGATCAAGAAATTTTCAATGAGGAACTGTTTTTCCCTTCAAATCCTTACTATCATGGACTTCATGCATCCAGGAGAAGTATGGATTTCTATTTGTTTATGAACAGCAAGGTCCTGTTCAAATTTGTGAGGAAAGATGCCAACCTAATTCGCAGGATCAAGCCGGTAATTGTTTATGTAAATTACCATCCTGACCAGCTCCCTAGGATGAAAGCAATTGTGGAGTTCTATGTCAATGGCAAACAAGATGCATTGAAACCTTTCCCTGATGGTTCAGACTGGTAGGGAAAGTTTCTGCTTGATAATCAATTATATATCCTCTGAGTTTCTCTGGCTAGCTTCTAGTTTCAAAAGGGTTACAAAGTGTCAGAAAGAACATGTATATATCCAACAAAAAAAAAGCATCACAAATTTTTCTAGATCAATCTACAGCTGTTCATGAACAAATTATATCCACCGAAAGAAAGTGCGGAATCTATATGCTATTTCTAGAATGTGAATAAAAATGTGGATACTTGCAAATAAGTTAACACTTCTTTTTAGTTCATCTGCTCCAAATATGAACTTAAAACTTAATCTCATAAGGCATACCACTTGGCCGAACACTAATCAACACTCTAAGAACAATTGCTTTATAGTATCATACAACAGCCAAGAGCTCATTGTAGAAGTTAGCCTCTTTTAGAAGGGTATATCCCAAATTTGATCAAATCTCCATTATGTGTATAAAAGAGATAAAAACAATATTCGGTTATTCCGACTCATTTTAGTTAAATCAATGTCAAAATAAGAAAAATTGGCTATTGATTTCACCAATTTGACACTCAATGTTACTCACATATACTTGTTGATGTGGACCGAAGTTACCTTCAAGTTAGCAAGAGCAAGCTTTCTAGCTCATACAAGAGTGATGTGCCATCAAATCACAGTCTTTGCGGTAACATTGTTTTTATCTGATGAGCCCTGGGTTTCATTTCCAGCATTGTGCAAAAATATTTTTTCGAAACAAGTAAATGATACCATCTAGATAGCCCAGACACAGCATCCACCTCACATCCAGAAAGAAAGGAGGAAAAAGAAAGAGAAAACATTCCTGTGGGAAGAACCATAACCATCATCATATCCACTTCTAATTTTGCCTGATTTATCACCTAAAAACCTGAAACTTTATGAGTTTCCTTAAGAGTACTTCTCTAAGCTCTAAGTCCCTCTTATCTGAAGCCATTTTTTCTTTCTTCAGAATCATCCATGTGGTAACCTAATCATACAAAAAAGATGAATTATACAAAAACACTGAAATTGTTTTAAAATATTAAAGTGCTTTTCCACAAACAGACCAGTACATATGGACTACAAAAAAAAAGGAAAAAGGGTTGTAATGAAATGTTCACAGCTCTAAGCTTACTACAAGAGCGCACACAAAATGAGACAACAGACATAAAGAAAGATGATTGATTTTTGGATTCCCCACTGCTGATCTAAAGTCAAATGTTGAAGAGAAGTACGATATTGCTTAGAGTTCATTGTCTTAAGACTTAAGGAGCTTTCAAATTCAAAGCCAATTACTTGGTTTGCCCATAAAGAAGAAAATTATTTCACAACTCAATTTGGTGCCAATTACAAAATCAATACATCCTACTCAAGTAACATATCTGTTAGCAATCAGGTTATCATCTGTTAAACAGGTTGTGACATGCGCAGAGGCTAGCCAATCTAGCTGAGCATGTATAATTGGTTACTGTTCCTAATAAAAACAGGATGGTCATTATCAATATGTTTATGTAAATAAGCGTGTTTCAAAAATTAAAAGAAACATGCCTGCAGCATGGGCAGATATGACATGGATTTAAGAAGGTTTAAGGGAGAAAGTACCTGAGTCAAAACAACTGATTGTTTTTTACTAGATTTAGCAGGTCTCATGACTTCCTTAACCAGTGTTTGGTTAGGAGGTGCAGAGGCTGCCTTAATTTCCTCTTTCCCTATTTTGTTCCCTAGCATGCAAATTAAATGTGCCTCCTTGATTCTGATTTCTTGTTTAATGTTGAACAGTATGAAGAGAAATAAAAAGAATAAAAATCAAGAGCAGTGGCATTTGTTGTTAGAGCTGGCACTACTTGAGCTAGACAGAAGGATCTAACTTAGTTTTGAATAAAAACGAACAGTTCTAATGAGGTTATCAATATTGTCAAGTCTAAAACTGAGGTCAGACATAGTGACTTCAAACAAAAATTCTCAAGTCTGAAATAATTTCAGGTTCCTAAAACTTGAATAACGTGTTCAGCTTATTACACAAGTATACCGACCACTTTTTCCAGTAAATTGTTATTGTCATCTTACTCATCCATTTCAGCATCTTAAACTCCTCATCTATGTCTAAACCGTCAGCATTATCATACTATGCAAACTCTTCTACTGATCTCGAATCCCAGGAAAAAGGGATTGCATATCTCGCAAGCCACTGGGTACGGTTCTACATACTTGAATAACCAACTTGAAAACAAACCTGAAATATACGCTTCCAAATCTCCTAAATTCATATTTTCATAACTTTCCTGCAAAGATTTGATTGATAGGGGAAAATTAACCAACGAGCTTATAAGATAACAATGAGAAAACATGCAGATCTCCGGCAGAAAATTTGAATTAAAAATAATAATAAAACCCGTCGATTCTGGTAAACGAATTGTTAGGTAGACAAAACTTAAGTCTCAATAAGAGTATGGAAGACATTGAAGCAACTTAACCAGGAAGGAAGGTATACAACAGGCGAAACTTCGAGTTCATTTATAATGGAGACCAAACACATATATATTTACAAATATACAGAGCGTATGCACACAAACCACATATATATACACATACATATACGTACGAGGAATATCTACGTATATATGCGGAGGGAGACACCTGAGTCGATGGCGCGAAATGGAAAATCGAAAGAGCAGAGAAGGCGAGGTGGGGCGGGTAGGAGATGACAGAAAAGCTTTATATATATATATATATTGCGGGCTGCTCGCGTTTTATTTAATATAATATTATTTATTATATACTTTTTTATTATCCAAAATAATATTTTTAGAGTAAAAAAATTCAATAATTTTCTAAAAAAGGTATTTATTTATGAATTTTTAATACAAAAATAAACTTTAAATATTTATCACGTATAGTCCGAGGTGTATTTATTTATACATTTTGGTATTACGATAAATTTAAAATATTTATCACATATAAGTCAATGTATTTTAATAATTAATTGAAATAATTATTTTCATATAATTAATAAATTTAATTAAATTTTTTTATAAAAAAATCTATAGTGGGTGTCAATAAATATATAATTAATATTTTTGGTCACGTGTATACATTTGCCTTTTGTATTTAATCGATATGGAATTAGATCACCTAGCAAATTATATATACATATATAATTTATGATTAATTAAAGAGTAAATTTTTATTTATATTGTTGAGAGTTTTAAAATTTTTTTATATTTATAATTTATATAATGCATGATTTAAATGTTTAATTTATTTTATTATTATATTTAAAAATTATTTTAAAAAATTGAGAAATTACCCTTTTTCAACTTTACTTACATGTATGTATATATGTTGATTGATAAGTGTAAATTAAATAAATAATTAGTGGGTATTTTTATATAAATATAAATATGAAATCCCACAAAATACTCCAAGAAAAGTCAGTCAAAGTGACTGCTCACAAAAAGCACATCTAATCTTTCGTCTTTATTTTAAAAAAGAAACAAAATTAAATTAAATTTTTGTTTGTAATTTTTTGTAATTTCATCGTCTCTCTCTCTTAATTGAACTCCGCAAAACAGGACACCAGTCGCCAGTTTCTGCACTCCAAGCAACAGCTTTTATTTTCTATTGTTATTAACATAAACAAGAAACCAATAAGCTCCAGATTTTCACTCCGCGCTCAGGTTTTCTCCTCCGTATTCGAGCTCTTCCAATGGCTGCCCTGCATCTCGGTTAATAAGCATTTATCCCTTCACACTGTCATGTGGGTCATGATTCTTCTCTCAAAAAAGGTAAATGGGTTCTTAGGATTCTCAGGTTTCTTTTCTGGGTTTTGCTTTATCTTCATAAATTTCTTTTTGATTTGCAGTTTTTTTTTTTTTTTTTAACCTCTCATGTGCTTAGCTTAATTTCTTCATTTCTTGTGGTTGGCGGCTGCTTTTGGCTCTTTGTCAGTTATTATGTTCTAATTATAGGTAAGATTGGTCTGTCAACTGTTGTATACTTTTTATTTTCTAAATCTGACAAGGCAAGGTTCGTTGAAATATTTGTTTTTTTTTTTGTTTATTTCTTTTTCCTGTGTGAATGTAGATAGTTCGTTACCAGAATGCCAGTAATCTTCTTGATTTTTGACTGGACGGAGAATACATTCTTGTACTTTCTCTGTTCTACAGACTTGAAACTTCATGAACTCCAGAAATGAGATTCTAATCTTAAGTTGGTCTTACACGAATGCCAGAGTTGAGCTTGAAGTAAGATCTGGGTTGGACAGGATTATGGATCTCTATGAGAACATGGCTCCCGGGTTCAATCCATATTCTGGGACTAAGAACCGAATGATGGATGTGTTTCATTTACGTCCCAGAAATGAAGTAACCTTGATTATTTTCTTTTTCCTTGATGTCTGCAGATGTTAATAAAAACTTGAACTTGCTATTTTCCGTGTACACCCAGTTGTAGATTGGAGTTTCTCTAAATCCAGATCATTTTCTTAGGATAGTATGTATTCGGATGATGCTATTGAAGTTGCCCTTTGTGGAAGGACTTAGAGTTTGCTGCATTTGGTTTCCACTTCATGTGACTGAATTTCCGCTTATCAATTTAGATCATTCCAAAATTTTGTAAAGGATGGAGGGAGGGAAAGTAAAAATTTATTGTAGCAAGTGATCAAGTCCGAATAGGTTGTGATCCAACATGATGAGAAATTCAGTTCAGCGGTGTGGATCTCAGAAGGCCTATATGGACTTAAATACGCACTTACTTGTAAATAAAAAAAATATACATTTATTCTAAGAGGTTAAGAATATCATTGGCAATTTCTTTTGTTACAGACAAAATATAATTGAAAAGGAATTCTTAGATAAATGATGATCTGGAAGACATCTAATTAATTAAGAAGATGTTTATAGGACTTTAAAGGTGAGTGTGTTTTATTACAGATACAATTAATTTATGTTTCTTCTGATCAATCTTTTTATTATGAATTACATCTCGATCTCACGTATGCTTCTTTTTGTTGACTAGAGTGATCAACATGGTTTGTAAAGAGTGGATTCCCCGACTAGAATAGAAAGAATAAAATGGTTATTTGGAAACCTTTTATTTTTGGATGTTGGAAACAGGGATTGAACCCCACTAATAAATATTTGCCCCTACTGTCTTTGGCAGTTATGACTAGACCTTTCTATAGAAAAATGAGAAGTTCCTTTACTTAGTACTTTGATACGTTTGGATTCAATTCTAGGTTCATGTCCATTAGAACTCAAAAGTTTCTATACTTTTGATGAATGACTGAGAGGTAAGGGAGTAGAAATTTTGTGAACAGTTTGTTTATTCACATTTATTCTATATAACTGAACTGATTTGAGGTTGTTCAAAATTTTTATTAGATGAAGAACTTCAACTGCTACTTTTTTGTTTTAAAGTTCAGTCTTCAGTAAACAATATTTTATTGAAGATCTTCTTCAGTGAATAATAGACTCCAACATTGCTCATGTAAATTGGAACCATAGAACTGATGGATCAGTGGGTTCCTGCTTTAAATATTCTGTTGTGAGACGAAATTTTACTATAACTTCTTGTCCTCTATTTTTCCCCTAATGGAATGTTGATATTGTGTTTTCATACCTGCAGGTTACAACTAGGGATTGACTGACCCTGGTAACCTGGCTTCAGGGATGAACATGGAACCAAGAGCAAAGAATGGCTGGCACTCTATTGTGCCAATTCGTTTTAGAGGAAGTTCTGCCACTCGTTTTTGCATGTTCCCGAAAGTGAAATTGGCAGGCTCTAGTCCAGGAAATACTCCTGTTTACCTAAATGTTTATGACTTGACACCCATTAATGGCTATGTCTATTGGGCAGGGCTGGGCATATTTCATACTGGGGTGGAAGGTTGGCTTCCTTCCCATATTCTATTGTTTTCGTTCCAAAACCTTTTTTAACGACATACCTTGTAATAGAGTGTTCTTCTTCCATCTAAAACTATAATGCATTTGAGGTTTCTATTGAATTT